GGGGTCTGGCCTGGGGGGGGCAGGGGGGCTATGCTGCCTGCCTTTCAAGCCGTCCGATGAGCCCCATGAGGCCGGCTGGGCCAGTCCTGCCCCGCTGGGCGAAAGAGCAGCGAAGGGCAGAGGTGGGCACAATTCTCTTTATTTCCTGGTGGGGGTTGAGGTATCTGTCCATGTTTTAAAAGTCCAGAACTTTCCCTGAACACCTGGGAAGGGGGGGCGGAGTGGGAGGGGCCGGCTGGCAGGGCCCCTCCCCCTTCCCTGCAGGTGGCCCTTGGGAGGCCCAAGTGGAGACCGGCCCGGGGAGGCCCGAGGCCCTTCATGGGGAGACGGGGGGGGGGGGGGGGGGGGGGGGGGGCCCCGTGGGCAGGGGCCGGTCTGGGGGGGGGGCGGCGAAGGCGGCCGGGGTTTGGGGGGGGGGGGGGGGCTGCCTGGCATGGAGTGAGGCGGCTGCTCCTCCCAGCCCCGCCTGGCACAGGGTTCAAGTCAGGCAAATGGCACTGGGTGGTCAAGAGGGCAGAGGCCCAGTGACCTCTGTTGGGGGGGGAGGGGGGGGCAGAAGCAGCCAGAGGGGGGAGGAGGGCTGGAGTGCAGAGCCCAATCGGAGGAGGAATGGGGGGGCCCCCGAGGAGCCCCCAGAAAGAACCGGAGCCACGGGGGTCTTGGGGGGCAGCGGAGGAGCAGCTGTGTGGCCCCTGGGCTGGGGGGAGGCAAGAGGGACCCAGGCCAGAATCCTGACCCCATTTGCAGGGGGGGGCATGCCTGCACCTCCAATGGGGGGGGGCTGGAGGCTGCTGGAGCAGCCAAGGGGCCTCCCGAGTTGGGGGGTCTTGGGGAGGAGAGAAGGGGAGGGGGGAGCTGGGCTAGATATCTGGAGGGGGGTGTTTGCGGAGGGGAAACTTCAGGGGTGGGGGCGGTTCAAGAGACTCCAGGCCAGGAAGGCAGCCAGGAAGTGGGGGGGCCTCCGGTCTCTCGGGGGGCCCCAGAGCGAGTGGGGGGCGGGGCAGGAGGGGGAGCCGCCCCCCCTCCGCCTCCTCATTTCTGGCTGTTGTAGGCCGCGTGCCGCTGGTTGAGGGGGTTCTCGGGGGACTTCATCCACTCCTTCTTCAGCAGCTGCTTCAGCTGGGAGAGGCGCATGTTGGGGTTCTCCTGCTTCAGGCGGGGCAGGCTCCCCTCTTCGAAGGCCGAGAAGGCCGCTTTCATCCGCCGCTCCGGGTGCCGGTCGGGGTCCTCAGCCACGCTGTGGGGGGGGCAGCCGGGGTTAACTGGGGGGTGGCCCCTCCCCCCCGGCCCCCCCCGGGCTCCTCCGGCAGAGGAACCCCAAGCCCCCCCCTTCTTTGGGCAGGCGCTCCCCCCCCCCCAGGAGCAGCCCTGACCCCCCCCCACTTGGGCTCTTTGGAAAGGAGGGAGGGGCTGCTCCTGGGGTAAGAACGCCTCCCCCCCCCCGGGGGACCCCGCCCAGCCCCACCTGAGCACCGCGATGGCCTCCTCGATGGTGCGGGCTTCCACGGAGCCCTCGTCCAGCACCCACCGGTTCAGGTTCTCCTCCAAGGGCACCTCCAGGTGGCTCTTCGGCTTCTCTGTGGGGGGAGGGGGGGGAAGGGCAGGTGGGACCGGCTCAGGAGACCCTCCCCGGGCCCAGAGAGGAAGGGAGGGGGGGCTCCGGGCGGGGCTGGGGCCCGACCTCCCGCTGCCCCCCTCCCATCTCCGGAGACCTCCCAGCCCCACTGGGCTCCGGCCGTCCCGGGAAGGCGCTTGGGGATCCCCGGGGGGGCGGGGGGGGGGGGGGGCTCACCGCTGCCGGCATCGTCTGGGGCCTCCTTCCCCTCCTTCCGGAGAGCCTCGTCGATCTGGGCCCGGGTGACCTTGGGGGCCCCGGGGGCCTTGGGGGCCTTCCCCTTCAGCTTGGCGTCCTCCTCCTCCAGCAGCCGCTGCAGCTCCTCCTTCCGCTCCAGCTGCTCCAGGCGGCGCTTCTCCCGCTCCTCCTGGGGGGGTGGGGGGGGCAAGAGATGGGGGGAGCCCCGCGTGAGGACCCACCCCCAAAGGGACGGCTGGCATCCGAGGCGGCCGGAGCAGATGCGCCAGGAGGGGCCCCTTGTGGGGAGGAGGCCGGGGTCCGCGCTCCAAGAGCCCTGGAGGGGAGGGGCAGAAGCCCCCCAAGACAGCCCTGGCGGGCGCCCCCTGCCTCCCCCCCCAGGCCTCGCTCTTGGCTGCAAGGGCCCCCCAGAGGCCGCGGGGCCTCGCCTGCCTCTCTGGCCCCAGCAGACCCTCCACCCCCCTCCCTCTCTCCTCCGGCTTCCCCTGGGTGCCCTCCCCCCCCCTCCGTCCTTGCCTGGGACCCCAAGGCTCCCCGAGACCCCTGGGCAGTTCCCGGATGTCCTCCTCCTGCGCCTGAGGGCCAAAGGGGGGGGGCTTTTCTCCTCAGGGCCCCGGATCAGGAGCGGCCCCCACGGAGGAAGCCTCCGCCTGGGGCTCCCCAGGAGGCCTGGAAAGCCCCGCGGCTGGATTTGTCCTCCGGGCTGGAGGGGCTCCAGGGGAGAGCAGAGACTCCCACCCACCCCGGTCCCAAACCTCCTTTAACCCCATTTCTTTCCCAGCTCTTCCACAGACATGGTTCTGGGTTCGAGTTTCCCTTTCCAAGGGTGCCTGGACAAGGCTGGCAGTGGGGGGGGAGGGGCGGAGGAGAGGGGCCGGTGTCCAGGGGTCCAGTGGGGGGGGGGGCAGCACCATACTGTGAACTGGGCAGAGTCTCTCCTCACCTCTGCGGGCGTCCAAGTTCTTGCACCTGCCCGAGCGCCAGTGTGGTCAGCTGTCCAGGGCCCCCTCCCTGCCCCCTTGGCCTGCTGGCACGGATGCCGGCCTAACCTGGCCCACCACTGTGAGGCGCCAGGCTGCGGTTCTTACTTTTTTATATATATATATATATAAAATTCACATGGCTGCTTATCTCACCCAGGGGGACTCAGGGCAGCCTGCAATAACCCCAACAATTAAAACCGATTAAACAATTAAAACGTAGCATAAAAACAACAGATGAAAAAACACTGAGAACAAGACTCTTGTGTGTGTGAGAGAGAGTTTGGTTAGTGGGTTAAGGCACCAGGCTGGAAATCCGGGGCGATGAGTTCCAGTCCCGCCTTAGGCATGAAAGGCAGCTCAGCCCAGCCCACCTCGCAGGGCTGTTGTGGGGGGGGGAAACAGGAGGGGGGAGGGCTGCTGAATGCGTTCACCGCCTGGGGCTATTTCTCAGACGAAGGAAGGCGGGATACGAACCCAGGGGATAAAGCCCGAAGGCCGGGACGGGCGGGGCCTCCTCTCCAGGCCGGGTGGGAAAAACCTTCCCGGGGTGTGTGTGTGTGTGTGTGTGTGTGTGAGCGAGCGGAGACCCTCCCTCCTCGGGGTCAGGGCTGCCCCTGGGGGGCTTCTGGAAGAGGCAACGGGGGTCTCGTTGTTTGGCCCCGAAGACATTTCGCTTCTCCCGCCCCGAAGGAAGAAGCTTCCCTCCGAACTGGAGAAGCTCCTTGGACGAGAAGCGAGAGGCCTTCGGGGGGGAACCCAGCGGCCATTGGGGGCCCGTCTCGAGGGCCCCCCCCGAGGCCACCAAGGTTTGGGGCCACCCTCACCTGGGGCTCCATGGGGTGGGGCTGCATTGGGGAAAGGGCCCAGGGTGGGGCCCAGGGAGGGCTGGCAGAGGCCCCCCCCTGCTGCCTCCTCCCCCTCCTCCTCCTCCCCCTCCCCTTTTTGGCCCCTGCCAAGCAGTCCAGCCTGAAGTGCCCGAGGCCCCCCTGGAGCCCCGGATCACGTCCCCATTCCGGAGCCAGCCGGGGTCCAACCCAGAGACACTCCGAGGATTGCGGAGCCCGAAACCCCAGCGCTCTCCTCCGCCCAGCCCCCCCGCCCCCCCCACGGGAATAGAGCCAGGTGGGTCCGCCTCCCCCCCCCCTCCACGGAGCCCCCCCTTCCCCCCCTCCCCCCCGCCCCCCCCCAGCCGGCCCACCTTCCTCTGCTCCTTGCGCAGGACGTGCTTGTCCTCCTCCTTCCAGAGGGCATCCTCCAGCTCCTTCTGCCGCTTGGCATCAGCCGCCGCCTTGGCCTCGGCCTTCCTCGCCCGGGCAGCGGCCGACTTGGTGTTCTCCCCTTGGAACTTCTTGGGCATCCCGCAGGGTGCTCGCGCCTGCGCACACACACACACACACACACACACACACGGGGGGGGGAAGAAACAGCCGCCGTCGCTCAGAGGTCTGTCTGCCTCGCAGCTGCCACCCTTTGCCCCCCACCCTTTGCCCCTGGCTAGGTGCCAGCCTGCCCTTCGCTGGAAACCGGAAGGAGGGCCGAGAGACGAGGGCGATCCTGACCTGCAGTCCGGAGGCATCCTAAGGCCAGAGTCCTGTGGGGGGGAGGGGGGCATGCAACCCCTACCCCTCCGAATCCAAGCCCCGCGGGGAGAGGGCCCAAAATCTCTTCCCTGAGTGTGGCTGGACCCCAGGGAGATGAGGGGGTGGGGGGACCAGGGAAGGGGGAGTTAACTCAGGGGGGGGGATTTCCCCCCCTTCTGGCTTCGCTCACTGGAACCGCTTTGGCCTCTTTGTGTCTTGGAAAGAAAGAAGTTGCGATTTCGGTGGGTTTTAACTTAAATTATGTGGCGTAAATATATATAAAAACATAAGCAATACTGCTGGTCCCTGACTTACGACTACAATTAGGACCAGAATTTCTGTTGCTAAGTGAGTCACACCTGATTGTACAAGCTTTTTTTTTTTTTTTGCTACAGTTTAATAGATTAACAGAGGTGGAAGGGACCCTGGAGGTCATCTAGTCCAACGTCGTCCCCCTCGCCCAAGCAGGAGACCCTACGCCACCCCTGACCAATGGCAGTCCAGTCTCCCCTTGAAAGGCTCCAGGGATGAAGCCCCCACAACTTCCAAAGACTGGTTCATTGTTCTCCCTGTCAGAAAATTCCTCCTCCTTTATTTCCAGGTTGAATCTCTCCTTGTTGAGCTTCCATCCATTATTCCTTGCCTGGCCTTCGGGGGCTTTGGGGGAATAGCTTGGCCCCCTCCCCCCTCCCCTCTGGGGCAGCCCCTCCTCAACTCCTGGAAGGCGGCTCTCCTGTCTCCCCGGGTCCTTCTCTTCCCGAGGGCAGCCAGGCCCGGATCCTGCAGCCGCTCTTTGTTACGTTTCAGGTGCTTTTTCAAGGGGCAACCGGACTTCCTTTGCTTTTCTTTGAAGATATTCCACTTCCCACCCAAGAAGCTTCTTCAGTTCTGGCTGAGCGGTGGAGGGTGGAAGGACTTGAACTCCTTGCTGTCCTCTGGTTGCCAGCACTGTCCCTGAGAGTCCCTGAGGCCACTTGGGGGTTTCGCCTGTCCCCTCAGGGTCGCCTGAATCCGGGTGCAAATAGGCGTGGGACCTTCTCGGGACGGAGTAGGAACCCTTCCCATCTCCCACCACCCAGTCGGAACCAAAGACGAGAAGCCAAATGTCTACAAGGAAGTCCAGCTGCCTCCTGAAAAAAGACCCCCCCCCCCCCCCCCGGACAGCCCCGGCCTGGATGGCGGAGAGTCTCGGCAGACATTCAGCTGTCTGCCCTTTGGGACGGCCGGGGTGGCTGAGCCAGTCCTGCTCCCCGCACTGACTTTGCCAGAAGCCAGCTGGGAAGGATCCAGGCAGGGAGCCCAGAACTGCCACAAAGTACCCCCCCCCCGCTGATGGTCAAGTGCCCGAGATTTTATCCTGTGGTCGTGAGGATGCCGCCATGGTCGCAAGTGTGGGACGCGGTCCTAAGCCCCTTCTTTCAGTCTCTTTGCAACTGAATGTATTGGTGTAATTCTACGGGCAAAAGAGGGGCCGCCTCCATCACAGGGGCGTCCGCGGGGCCACCCTGGAAACAGCAGAGGACCGGCCAAAAGCAAATCGAAGGGGAAAGGGTTTCCCCTTTTGCACCCGAGCACGGAAGAAGGGGCAGGAAAGGAGAAAGAGGAAAGGGGAAAGGGGAAAGGAAAGGAGGGAAGAGAGCAAGGAAGGGAAAATAAGGAAAGAGGGGGAGGAAGAGGCAGAGAATGAAGGCGGAAGGGAGAGGAGGGGAGTCCTGAATGACGTTGAGCTGGCCGCGCCCTCCTGGCCACCCCCCCCCCCCAGATCAAACACAGTCCCGGTGCGGCTCCTGTGGCCTTTCCCCCCCAGACGGGGGGGCCGGATGACTGGAGGAAAAGCTCCGCGGAGGAGGAGGAGGAGGAGGAGGAGAGGCAGGAGAGCTGCACTCAGGACCCTCCAGGGGAACAGAAGTTGTAGCTGCTTACGCCGCCCTCAATCCCACGGAAGCCTCTCCTACCGGCGGGCCTGGACGTAACAGCCATTCGCTCAGAGGCCATTCAAAGTTAAAAGGATGCAGGAGGTGGGATGGGTGACTTGTGGGTCACCACCAACCCTACTTAATCGCCCCCCCCCCAAATCATTCTCCTCACGGGTGGGGAAAACGCCCCAAAGTCAACCAAGTGGGAATGGCCTGTTCTGAGTTCGAAACACACCCACCCCGACCCTTCTAAAGCGACTCTTGGCTCCAGGCCCCCACAGAGGTTCGAAATGGTTTATTTCCTGCTCGTCCGAGTCTCTTTTAATCCGGCTTTAAGCCTTTCTCCGCCCCCGCCGCGGACTACAACTCCCAGCTAAGTTTATCTGGCTGGGGCATCCTGGGAGTTGTAGTCCGCGGCTCTTAAAGCCGCGGGGGCGGAGAAAGAGGGACCCGGGTGTCTTCGGGGGGTCTCCCAGCCGCCCCCCGAGGCCTCGAGACCCCACCCGGGCTGCGTATCGCGGCTCCCCGGGGAGGAAAGAGGGTCGGCGGGGCCCCCAGAAGCCCCTCCGGCCGCGCCCAGTCCCTCGTTACCGGGCCCCGCTTCACCGGCGGAGAGGAGGCCGAGCGGGCCGACGAGACAGGCCGCCCCTTCCCTCCTTTTGGCCGGGGACGGGCTCGACCCGCCGGAACCCCTACCTGCCGCCGCCGCCGCCGCCGGGGGAGTCGCAGCCTTTGGACGTCACGGCGCGCCCCGCCCCTCAGGGCGGAAACGGCGGACGACCCTTCCGCCCCCTCCACCATGTTTGATGAGGGCAACTGCCATCTGACTTCAGGCCCACGTTCCCCTCTTTCCCGTCTGTCTCGCACTTTCCCGATGGGAGGGCGAAACAAAACTGCCGCGACCCCCAGCCTGGCCAGGCTTTTTCAGCGTTGGTCCCCTGTAAAGATGGATCGGGAGTGAGAGGAACAAAAGGGCTGCCCATAGCCAAGATGGCCGCCGGTGCGGTCCTCCGCTGGATTTCTGTGCGCTTACGCATCTCTTGCTGCGAAGTCCTGTCCGTATTCACGGGCGAACCCAAGTAGATGACGTATGGCCTTACCACCTGGCGGCCAATCCTCTCTATCGTATGAGGACCCGTTGTCACGGTAACGGGCGGCTTCACCGACAGGGCAACCACCTCTACAAAGATGGCGTCTTTGGCTTCGAAGCCCGCGAGACGTGCAGAATCCATGGGGCCGGCATAAAGGGGCCCGGCCTGGACCGGGATGGGAGGCCACTAGGAGATCCAATGGGCCAACATTTTCCGTTTTCCTGCTTTTGCAGGTTGGAAAGGAGAAAAATCAAGCCCTCCCATTTTCCTGCTCGTCTTTCTCCGTCAGATCTCATAAAGAGACAAGCAAGCTGGAGGGCTCAACTTTTTAGGGGTTCAGATGTCTCCCAGAATTCATCTGTGAATATTCTGCCTGACTCAAGGAGGGCACCCAATATCCAAGACCCCAAGGACCAATTGTGCCCATTTGCAAGTTACAACTACCCAAAGAGGCACCTGGGCAACTACACAGAAAAAACACAGGACGACCAAATTTGTTTTTAAAAGATGCTTATAATTTATTGCACTTCAGGCTCCCCAAAGGCCAGGAAGGAGCCTTGAGAGTTGCTAAAGAGGAGTGTGTGTGTGTGTGTGTATCTGTCTGTCTGCGCCTGTAGAAAGGGAGGGAGATTGGCTGGAGGAAACCTGGCGATAGCCATCATCTGAAGCCGTGTTTGACACATTATTTTAAACGTCAGAATTTCCTCTTCCACGAAGTAGGTGGAATCCCATCCCTGACCTCATCCCTGTGCTTCGGGGGGTGGGTGGGTGGGTTTCTAACTGGCCTTCACTTGTCCGCTGCAGTTTGGGGCTGGGGGCAGCAGGGTGGGGGGATTGCACAGGCAAAACTCTGAATGGGAAAGCGGGAAAGTTCTCGGGTTCCAGACCAGGATCCAAGGGGAATCAGGAAGGTTGAAGCATCCTCTTGAAAAGTGGTCAAGGATCCCCAGAAGACACCGAGCAGGCGACCCAAAGCCCTCCAGGCCCCACATGGCGGCTGCCCCCTTTTAAAGTGAGACCCTCCTTGGATGCAGCTGCTCCTGTGCTTCCAGCCAAGGGGGTTCTGCAACCCCCTTCCAACGTGGGGGAGACTGCCCGGCTTCCACCCCTCTCCTGAGCCCCAGCTCTGTGGCTTCTGAGGGAGGGTCCCCCTTGGCCTGGCCTCTGCCTACATTTCAGGAGGGTCTCCAGCCTCCTCCCGGGGAAAGGAGGGAGCCCCTGATGGGGTTTGGCTCGCCCCTTTCTGCCTCTTCTCCCTTCCTTCCTGAAGCGGGGTCTCCTTCCTTTGGGGACAACCCCCCCCAAGGACCAACACCCACATGGGCAGAATTCCCCCAGGGGCCCGACCTGTGTCCAAACTACAATTCCCAGCCTTCCTTGGGAAATCCCGTGAACTGACCACAAAGGCGGCTTCTGCATTTCTTCACCACCTGCTACTTGTCAGGAAAGGGTGAGCTATGGACTTGGAAAGAGCCAGTGGGGAGCGTTTCCCGTATTCTAGCACAGGAAAACATTGTCCGAGTTGAGGGGGGGGGCCTTTCCTCTTTGCTGCGTGTGTGTTTTGCACAATGACACACACCCACACACACCCGTGTCTGCTTGGAAACGGGGCCCTCAGGAGCTGCTGGTGTAAGGCAGATTCGGGGGAGAAACAGCCCCCGGGTGAGGAACGTGTCGGTCCGCTTGGGGAGGGGTTTTTTTTGCGTTCATCCCCTGGAGAACCGTCTTGAGCCCGTCGGGTGTCCTGCTCTCCCGTCGCCCTCCGGCCCTAAACGCAGGTCTCTCGAAGGAGGTGGAAGCAGCCGTGGTCGAGAGCGTGGCAGGCACAGATGGACTCCGCAGAGCCTGTGACCAGGGTCCCCTCCCCCTTGGCCAGCAGGATCTTCTCCTCCCCCTCGAAGCCAAGAGCCAGGGAGGCCGAGTCCAGCGCCTCCTTCTTCTGAGGGTCTCCAGCCGCATCCTCGGGGGTCTGTGCGGGGAACAGGAGGAGAGCGGGGTCAGCCCTGGGGCCTCCCCCACCTGGGTGAGCCGGACCCTCCTTCCGCTGGCCCGAAAGCCAAGAGCAGCTCTGGAAAGAGAGCCAAGGGAACCCCCCGGAATCCCTCTGCATCTGGGCATCCCGAGCAAAGGGAACCGCTATGGCCCTGGACCGCTTCCCCAGCCCTCCAGAGGCACGAGATGAAGGCTCTTTGACCTCGCAACAGGGGGACAGACTTGGCCGTCGCTTCAACTGGGGAATCCTGACCCTCCTGGACCAAGCCAAGCCCCAAAAGAAAGGCCAGGGGGTCTCCGGAAGCCTGGCACTCTGGCAAACGGGCACAGAGACCTTAGCAATATCTATACAGACAATGAGCAAGGCCCCAAAGGGAACGAAAAGACCAAAAGACCCCTCTCGACCAGCCATCAGATGACCAGAGGATTCACGCCGGGCCAATATTCACCAAGAAGGAAACCACCCCCCAGTCTGGGAACCGCCAGAGAAGCCAAGAGGAAACAGCCCGAGCGAAAGTCCCGCAAGGAGGGACTCTAAGGACATCGGCGGAGAGCAAACCCTTCCTCCCTACTGGTGGTGCTGAGGGTGTTGTCCAGTTGGGTCACGGAACGCCTGCAAGAAAACCAGCCTAGCCTGGAGGGCACCAAGGACCCCCTAATTCAACCCTGAGCCATACTCTCCATTGACTTCCCAGCCCTCCCCATCAGCAGCAGCACGGGGGAGGGGGGGCGACCCAGGAAACGGCGGGGCAGCCCCGTTCTTGCCCACCTCCGAGAGAAGCAAACTCTGTTGTGCGCCCACAAGCCCAAATCTCCTATGGGGATCCCCAAGGAGCCAGAGGATGGCTGCTTCTGCCTTCTCAGGGACCTTCTGGGAGGAATGATGGACGCTCCTTCTCCCGGAGCAGAGGTGGGCTTTGTCCACCCCTCCCCAGAGCCCCCTCCCCTGTTGCTGAGCCCCCGCGCGGCACTCTGGTGGTCCTCCTCCCTACCGTCTCCAGTGGCCTCTTCATGACATCCCACCACAGCACCGCTGGCCGCTTGCTGTCCTCGCCAGCAGAGCCTGAAACGAACCCCCGAGAAGTCAGGAAGTGAGTCCAGGCCGAGGGCGGCCTCCAAGCTCAGCCCTGCCCCACCGAAGACTCGCCCATCGGCACCAGGACATGGGCAGCCCCCTGCTGGCCCTCAGACCCAGGGTCCCGCACCAACGGTGGCAAAGGGGGCCGGGGTCTCCTCGTGCAGCTCTCACCCCAACCCTTTGGACTCAAGCTGAGGGGAACTGGGCCTACGGAGCTCTTGCGGGCTAAGGATGCCCCATCGGCAAACCGCCCCTCCTCTTCATCATCAAACCTAAGGGCTGGACGGGGCCTGAGAGATCATCTACACCCACCCCCTGCCTGGAAACACCCTCTGGCTTTTCTGCTCTCCCCCCCCCGGGAGGGTCCTTGACCACCAAATGGGGGGGGCCCGGGGTCCCCCGGAGGGGGCCGGGCCCTCCCCCTTTTGTAAAGGCCCCCCCCGCCCCCCCCCGTGGGCTCTATCCAGCCTCAAGGCAGGTGAGATGTCGCACCCCTGCAAGGGGGGCCTGTCCCCGCCAGAGGGACCCTCGCCAACCGTCCTGCCTGCCTGCTTACCTTTCAGGCAGCTGGCCAAGAGGCCGACGGCCACCGTGCTGAGGGTCCCCAGGGCGCCGTAGTAGAGGTAGGAGATGGCATAGAAGTCGTCTGCAACGGCCAGCCTGCAAGGGAGCCACTTGGTCAGCTGCCTCGGGAACGGCCGGATGCCCCCAAGATGACCCTCAGCACTGCCACCACCCGCCCAGCCGGGCCCCTCCTGACAAGGGTATCCCTCCCCTGGGCACCCTGCATGCATCTCCCTCCCTCCCTCCCTCCCTCCATCTATATCTATCTATCTATCTATCTATCTATCTATCTATCTATCTATCTATCTATCTATCTATCTATATCTATCTCTATCTATCTATCTATCTATCTATCTATCTATCTATCCCTATCTCTATCTATCTATCTATCTATCTATCTATCTATCTATCTCCCCTATCTATCTATCTATCTATCTATCTATCTATCTATCTATCTATCTATCTCTATATCTATCTATCTATCTATCTATCTATCTATCTATCTATCTATCTATCTATCTATCTATCTCTATATCTATCTATCTATCTATCTATCTCTGTCTGTCTGTCTGTCTGTCTGTCTATCTATCTATCTATCTATCTATCTATCTATCTATCTATCTATCTATCTATCTATCTATCTATCTATCTATCTATCTATCCACTCTGGAAAGAGGGCAGAGAAGAGCAACGAAGGAGGGACTGGAGGCTAAAATACAGGACGGACGGTTGCAGGATCCGGGCCTGGCTGGTCCAGGGAAGAGAAGGACCAGGGGGGACAGGAGAGCAGCCTTCCCAATATTTGAGGGAGGGGCTGCCCCAGAGAGGAGGGGGAGGGGATCAAGGTGTTCTCCAAGGCACCTGAGGGTAAGGAGAGAAGCCACCTACAACTAAGGAGAAACGTCCTAATAAGAGGAGAAATTAACCCGTGGAACTCCTTGACTCCAGAAGTCGGTGCTCCATCGCTGGAGATTTCTAAGAAGAGGCGGGATATTCACCTGTCTGAAATGATATAGGGTCCCCTGATTGAGCAGGGGGCTGGACTAGAAGACCTCCAAGGTCCCTTCCAACTCTGCGACTCTGTTGTTCTGCTTTGTTCCGTGCATGGAAACTCCTTATTTTTTGACTCCTCTGCTCCCTGCCCCCCCCCCCAGGCTGGGGGTCCTGGGGGTTGCAGTCCCCCTGGATTGGGAAGTGGGTGGAGGGACTGGAAGGGAGGGTGGAGGAGGAGGAGGAGGAGGAGGCCGCCCTCAGAGCGTGCCTGAGGAGAAAACCAGGAGGAGTCCCCTGGGGGCTCAGGGGCTCTGAAGGGGCATCCAGAGGCAGCCAGCTTAGCCCCGCTACTCACCTCTCTGGCCGCTGCTCCAAGAGGGCCGGCTGGGGCAGCGGCCCATAGAGCAGGGAGCTGCTGTTGGCCCCCCGGGAGATGTTGAGGAGGGGGCAGAGGCCTGCGTAGGAGGGGAGGACCCCCATGGTGCTGGCGCTGGGAGGGTAGAGGGTGCCCCCCACAGCCACCCAGAAGGAGAGGAGGAAGCCCAGGCCGAGGCCGGAGAAGACGCCCTGAAAGGGAAGAGGCGGCCAGGGTCAATCCTGGCCAAGTCCTGGCTTGCTCCGGAGCAGACGGGGCGGGGGTGGGGTGGGGTGGGGGAACCAGCGTATTCCCACGACCGTTTCCGGAGCGAGGGCAGGAAATGGGCTCACGGAAGAGGTAGGTTGCCAGGTTGGCCTCCCCCTCCCCCCTTGCTCCTTGTTCCTCCCCCAGGAGCCAAATCGGACCCTCCCTCGGCCGCTCCCTGCAAGCCCAAGAGCCGCACCTGGAAGACTGCTAGCAAGAGCAGGTGGGAAACCCCCCGCCCCGCCCCCCCCAGGTCTGGGTCCTCCCCTCCCCTCCCCCCAGTTGGTGCCCCCCAGAAGCCCGCCCCCCCCACCCCCCCCCCCCCCTGCCTCCCTCTCCAGGTGGGACTCACCAAGGTGTTGCAGGTGGGGAAGAACATGCCCAGGATGAAGGCGCCCAGGAGGGGCCCACTGATGACCCCCATGACGGTGAAGGAGCCCTGCCGGAGAAGCACGGGGGGGGGGAGAGGGGGGGGTGAACAGCAGCAACCTCTCTGTCCCTGCCAGAGCCGGGCCCCCTCCCCAGGAGAGAGGGGCTGGGCCTTGGGACGGCGATAGGGAGGGGGGGTCCTGCCACTTGCCCAGTCCGTTCGCCAAGAGGTACCAGCGGGGGGGGGGGGGGG